AGTGGGGAAAGATGTATACCCCCACCAGGATCTGCCTCTGAAGGTGGTACCCTCATAATGTTCTCTTGTCATTCCTGTCACTTTTAAAACATTTGATACAGCCACACCATGTTTTGGGATTCCACAGTTACACTACTTATCATTCACCAGTACTAGAAGAGGACAGAAAACCTCTACAATTGAGTTGTATTGCATAACAAGTATATGTTTTTGAAGAGAGAAATATCTCCTCTTGTTGCAGATTCTGAACTGCCTGCTTTATCAGAGATTTTTTGACTGTTTGTTTTCTTAAAGTGCTAAACATACACTACCCTGGGGGAAAAATTCTGCACAAGGAAATGTAGGCAAATTTGCAGACGTACGTGGATTTGTGGAGTTTGGTGAGTTCATGAGTCAGTTCTCCCTTCGGATTCACGCTGAATATACGAGATTCTGGCAGACCCACTTTCTTGTATGCATAGACATCCTGTTCAAAGGATAACAGAGCAAGACAAAGGTAAAGCAGGAAATCTCTATTTGTTTTGTTCTGTTTCCAAAAGCAGCATGGAAGGGTTGCCTGCCAGAGCCAAATAGATTCTGGATGTCTGTTAAGCAGGCAATTTTGAACACCTCTGGCTTCTTCTCTATGACTTCTCTGTAGCATGGCAGATGGAAACGTGTCATTATTGTTACAGCAGTGGTGATGGTGCTCCCCAGCCCACCACACTTTCTTAGACAAATAATGTTCTGTTTCCAAAAGCAGCATGGAAGGGTTGCCTGCCAGAGCCAAATAGATTCTGGATGTCTGTTAAGCAGGCAATTTTGAACACCTCTGGCTTCTTCTCTATGACTTCTCTGTAGCATGGCAGATGGAAACGTGTCATTATTGTTACAGCAGTGGTGATGGTGCTCCCCAGCCCACCACACTTTCTTAGACAAATAAGTAACTATTTGAAAAGCATTCTGCTCCTTCTCATATCCAGTTCAAGATTTCACCGCTCTCCCAGCATTTGGAACCAAATTATACATTACAGAAGGTCATTTGTTAGATACTGAAATCCAGTGCTTCAGAAACATGATTTGGGAAGATCTTTATGACTGAGCAACTATACTTGGAAAGGGAGCTTTTCTTACCCACCCCCCTCCTGCGACCAATCACAAACAAAGCAAGCTAATTTGCCTGCTAGGGGAGTTGTGAAAAGTTTCTGTTGTGACAATCAGAGGTTGTCAGCATTTAAGGAATTCTCTCTTCTAACACAGTAACCAGCCCTGGCCAAAGTGAGCAGAGCTGCGACTACCACTAGACATGGAATGCCCTTACTTTCCCACCGAGGTGGTACCTATTTAACTACTTGCACTTGCATGCTTTTGAACTGCTAGGTTGGCAGGTGCTGGGACAAGCGACAGGAGCTCACTCCGTCACGTGGACTGCTGGTCCTCTGACCTTGCAGCACAGAGGCTTCTGCGGTTTAACCCACAGTGCCACCACGTCCCTCTCAAGTATTTGTAGCAGGGCCAAATTATGAGCTATTTTAGAGCAGGGGTGGGGAACTTTAGTGGTTTGTCCTCTTTCCAAAACTTGTTCCAGCCTACATGCCCCCCAAAAGCTACTGGATTTTGTCACCAAATGTAGCATAAAAGAGAGGTGGACTGGATAGGAAAACTGGGCTTGCTAGCTTCATGTGCCATCATTGAAGCTAAGTTTTAAAAATGCCATTTTAATCACTGCAATGTATTTTAGTGGCACAGTACCAAGCCGAGCAACAGAAGGGCATGGCTCAGGGGGGCACAAGTTCTAAACATGGGTGGGAGGTACACGTCATCCTGGTCCTCATATTGCAACAATATACAGTACTTTTAACAGTTCATAATTCAATTGGTGAAAAAGTTATATATTTCTTACTTCTGTAATTGTTCACACTTGAAAGCTAATGTCTCTCTTCTTTTGCATATATAATGTTAAAACATAATGTGTGAAATACAGACTCTAGCCTACAATGCTTCCGAGAGGGGAATCCTGCACTGTAATGAGCTTCACTTACTTTGAACGTTCTATTAAGGTTGCTATGTTGATTCTGACTTGGCAGCACACAACACACACCAACTTTGCTATGCAAGAGAAGCCAAAGCAAATAAAAACTCCTGGAAACACTGAAAACACTAGCAAGTGACTGCACAGAGCCAAGCTGCACAGCCAAGCTGCACAATTGCATGGAAGAAGCTTACCTATGAAAGGCAGAGAAGAGGCTGCTGGGGGCCAGCAGGATGGGACCTTTGGGAAGCACCCATCCCTGGTCATTGACACATTCTAGGTAGCCTTTGGTGATGTGTGCCATTCCAATCGCTCTGGCCGAGCAGTACAGAAACTTGTATCCGTTCCTAGAATGGAGGAAGTAAAACAGTGAAACTCTGGCTTCACCTCCATCTCACCCAAGGCTCCACTCCCTCTAACTGTACATGCTCAGATCCAATTATTACTATCGGAGTTCTTTACTGGCAAGACCCTTTGCCTTTTCATAGCTACTGCTCCCTTGCTCTACTGTGTCAGTGCCTATTCTCCTCAACATAGGGCTGTGAAGTAGTCGTCAATGCAGGTCAATATTTTCTGAAGAACTGAACAATTTTGTTGCTCAGAAGGAGCACGTTTTGGCCCTTCTTCTCATCCCTGATTATCTTCTGTACCTCTTGACCTTCTGTCAAGCATCGTACTATGGACCTCCTGGGAGCAAGGGACCTTTCCCCTCTCTACTTGACTCTGTGAGGTGCAATATTTACCAACAGAACCATGTTATTAAATGCCACATCTTTTTAAAACTCCTCTGAGTTTCCCTCTTGAAAGAGAGAGACTCTGCCTCTAAGTAAGGAGGTATGTGGGGTGGATGACTGTTGCCTGGGCCTGAGGTGTGGCAGCACTCTACGACCCCTAATCAACAACATGCCATTGCTTTGAACAGGATACTTCCCATCACCAACTGTTCATCTGCCATCTTAGTATCAAGAACCCAAGTCCACCAGTACAGTAGTTTGTTTTGGGACAGGAGTTCTCCAGAACTCGGGAGAATGCAATTGTGCTTATGCTCTGTTTGTGGGCTTTTATGGACACCTGGGCAATTGCTTTGTGAATAATGGTCTGTGTTCTAACTCCTATCCTCTGAAGATGCTGGCCACAGAGACTAGTGAAACATTAGGAAGAACAACCTTCAGAACACGGCCAAAGAGCCCGAAAAACCCACAACAACCATTAGATCCCGGCCGTGAAAGCCTTCGTGAATACATTGCTTTATGAATACTGGAACAGAAAGAACTTATATCTGATCCAGCATGACTCTTCTTATGCATGTGGCCTTTTGGATGTTGTCTGGCTTTGGCTCCCATCATTGGCTATGCTAGCTATGGAGAGCTAACAGAAGATGCAATCCAATATTTGGGGGGAAGTAATTTGGCCACTGCTGTGAGAGGTTCACCATAAGCTAATACAGACCCCAATAGAAGATGGACTTTTGTAAAGCACTAGAAACTAGAATCCATACAATGCTGATCATCATAAAGGGAGAAGGATTGAGGAAGGAGGGAAAGATCATCAACTGAATGCAAGCAATCATTTCAGAAACGAAGAGCTAGAAAAGTTGTCAGGTGCTAGACATTAGTTAAATTTAAACAGGTGATTTTGCTCCATGGGGGGACATGAAAATTAATTTTGTCATCAGGAATAAAAAAAAGAACAAACAAAAATATTTTCCTTCTTGGTGACAGAAAGAATTTGAGATGCTCTGCAGTTTTAGCACACATCTAAATAAAAAGGCACACACTGCCCTCCTGTGATTACTTCAGTATTTCTGCTAGTATTAGTCCATTTAGGTCTATTAGTCTCAAAACAGCAAATGGGCTGTGCTGTCCTCTAAGGCAGTGGCTTCCAATGCTCAATCTCCAGATGTTCTTGGACTACAACTCTCAGAAATTCTGGCCAGCACAGCTAGTAGTGAAGGCTTCTGGGAGTTGCAGTCCAAAAACATCTGGGTTAGCCAAGGATGGGAACCACTTCCCTAAACAGTTGTACAAGGAACACCCCATCCCACCCCCAGCTAGTGAACAAATCCAGTACTTACAGATGGATTTTGTGGAACAGCTGAACAATGCCTTCATGGGTCCAGTCTTTTCCCAGATGTGGTAAGATGTGACCTAGAGCATCAGATCTGACAAGAAGAGAGAAAATTAGAAACACAAACAGATAAAAGCCAAGCCAACAACAAACTCATTAGATTACTGCATAGTTCTAGCCACAAGCTATACCATGCTGGGAATGGTTTGTGACTACGTATTTTATATTTAAAAAGGGAGATGCAGCAAAATGTTGCAGCATTAACAGGAATTATTCTCTCCAGGGTTACAACCAGGCACCCACGTTCTCATCTAGGGGGATATTATGAGGTGTAAAATAGGGTGCAGCCCTCCAAATAATTGTTGGACTGCAACTCCCAGCACACCTCACCACCAGCTAAGTTGAAAATGACTGATGCAAACTGCAGCCCAAGAACATCTGGACAGCCACACTTTCCCCATTCTAGGTGTGGAGCAGTTTTGCTGAATTCACACTCCATGTCTCCATCATTCCTGGTTTTACATCTTTCCTTTCCATTAACACTAATGTCAGGGGAAATGACCATTAATGGCTACTAATGGCCATTCCGTAGCTATTGGTTAAGGCTGCTCTGAGTACAGACATTCTTCATTGGGCTGTTAGGGATATGAGCTTCTCCCTTCAGTGCTTTTTCTTTCCTTCTTTACATTGTGCAAGGTCACAACAACCTCCAGAACAAGAAATATCCCTCTCTGGTCTCCAGTTTGCCTTGTCCTGATCCCAGTTTTGTTGGCATGATGGCACTGAGTTCACAATTAGCAAGACTGGCATCAAAGAGGCTTTTTACCTGGTGATGGTTCCATCGATGTCAGAGATCACCACCTTGTCATGCCAGTTCCATAGGTAGATGGTGGCTTCACAGCGACATGTGCCCTGATACTGAGTGGTCACGCTAAACACTGCCTCGTTGGGCCCATCTCTCAGGTTCAGACTTTTCTATAGTCAACAGTCAATTTAAACAAAGCCATTTCAATCAGCATCTTACCTTTGTGGGTAGTATTGCTCAACAGTAAAGCAGCTGAATCCTCTCCTTATTCATAAATAATTTCCACAAAGTCACATACTAGAATTTATTGGAAAATAACCAAGCTTACTCATCGATTAGTTGCTTTTATAGACCGCCTTCCCTGCAATGAGCTAAAGGGGATACACATGGCTTCCTCCTATCCACTCCATCCTCAGAACATCCCTGTCATGTGGGCCAGAGTAAGAGAAAAAATGAATGGCTGAAGGTCAGCTAATGAAGTTTAGCCTGAGTGGGAATCAGAACCTGAATCTCTCAAACCCTATTCCCTCATCCTGACCATTATACTAAACTGCCTTTTAGTCTAAATAACACAATAATCCAAAAATGAATTAATAATTCCCCCATACACACCAACATTTTACCTGCTCCTGGTGACAAGGCATAAAGATGCCAGTCTATTTCTCCATCTAGATTCTAATTCTCTCAGATCTCAGACATATCCTTCATGCAATTAGGAAAGACAAAACTATGGGTACTTCTCCTTTCATGCTCAAAAATCCATCAATGTGCTGCAGAGATACAGTCCATGTTAATTTAAACCTTTTAAGTTGAACTGGTTTCAGTGTGTTAAAAACATTCTGAAACCTCTGTCACTGAAATCACTGGTATTTAAACATGCTTCTATCTGGTTGGCTTGTTTTGTAGCCCTCATAATAGTGATACAGAGCAAAGACTGCATAAAAGGTCATTGTCCATTTTTTTGTAATATATTTCTATCAACACATATATTTTCTCTTTCCTACCCTTAGAGCTTTAAACTGGAAAAACAGCAGTGATTCTGTTGCAACTACATAGTGCCATCTCTTTTGATCTGACTTTTTAAAAAAGTGTATCCATTTATACTTTGAAAACCTTTGCATCATAAAAGGAAACTGATTAGTGAAAGATATAGTCTAGAAACACTTGGTTTCCAAAATATCACTTCCTCCTGATCTCTTAAAAACAAATTTTCTGCCCAAGCACCCAGTCACCACAGAACCTTCTTTGCTTCTGAAACAGGACTGCCTAACTAGTTTCAACTTTTTGTGCCTTATTTAGTTACAAACATGGAAGAAAGCAAGTAGGGGAGCTGGAAACCACATACAATTTGATCCGAAGAGAGCCGTAGGGATTTCTTGTAGGTTGGGAGGAATTTCTGTGTGATTGCATCTGGTACAGTTTGGTCCCCATGGTCTGAGGATATGGACTCGTCATCACTGGTTGAGGTCTCTTCTCTCCTATAGTACATGAGAGCAGAATGAGAGGCCAGACTTGAAAATAACAAACAAACAAACAAACAAACAAACAAACAAACACACACACACACACACACACACACACTCCCTCATTCCAAATCTCCCAAAGGCTTCTCAAGAGCAAAAGAGATCCCAGGGAGCCTTGGAACATGAAGCAGGGAGGAGATAATTAAATTAAATTAAATTAAATTAAGAATAAATGGCCAAATCCCCCCAACCAACAAAATACTATCAAGTATTTTCCTTTTGGGGGAAAGTAGAGTTCAGCCAACAAGATAAATGGGAATCTGGAAGGAGACAACTAAGCTTGGGTTGGGTCATTTGTGATCCTCCTGATGCTGGATTGCAATTACCATCAGCCCTAACCATCATCACCAAGGGCGAAAAATGACAAAAGCTACAGTTGAACCTAGGCTGTCACCATGAGCATAGATGTGCACAGATGTTATACAGTAGGCCTTTGCTTGTGCAGAACTCCAGTGTCTCAAAGGTCTAGATGCAAAACCCAATATGACCTTGGATCTAGCAAGCACAGCAATGTTCTTAAAGCAGGGAAGAAAATGGAAAAGAACACAAGCATTTTATTAGATCTTTGCCAGACTAATTTCCAAACAGATGGACACATAATTTGCTATTGCACACACTGAAGCAATATTGCTTCAGTGCCTGGTACTGCCAATACCTCTTATATTCCTCTGATGCCCATGTGTTTGTTAGTGCAGGAGAAGTACTGATGTACAAGTACTGATGCACATGTGTAGAATTCTCCCTCACATGAAGGAATTCTACAAACATACACCAGCATTGCTACTGAGGACTCTGGGCTCATCATATTCTCAGTAGACAACCCAACGTTAGCAGAGACAAGAACTATCACACAAGATCAGAACTTGAGAAAGCTACTGTTTAAATGACAACTCGCAGAAGCACCTAGCTAGTGGGGTCAGTGGTCATTCCAGCTAGGGAATTCTGGTAATGGTTTTTCAAAGAGTAACTTTCCAAAGGGCTGCACTTGATCCTGCATTTCTGAGAAGTCCCTTAAAGTTCATTGCCAGAAGGAAATAAAGCACCCATCTATCTTTTGACAAAGGAAAAACATATTGATCAAGAAAGCTTATCTTTCCTTTTCCTGGTGCTACCAGAAGCTAAAAAGCAGGGCATTCCTGGGCATAGAATTCAGTCCTTCTCCATCTGCATTGTAGATTGATGATTACCCACCCCACCCCCAAAGTAAACAACTCCTTTGAAAGTTAGCAGTATCACAGATACTGATGAATGTCCTAATTAAATCTGCCACCCAAGATGGTTCAATTCTGTAAGACTCATAGGTCTCCTCAATATCATATCCCTTTGAAAAACAACTCTGAACTCCACTCTACATCAGTACACAATGACAGATTACCTCTGAAGGGAGTTCTCCTCCTGATGCTTGCCTGCAGCATTGGCTTTCTGGAAGAAATTGGCAGTAACTAAGCTATTTTAAATGCAATTTCAACCAGTAGCAGTAGCAGTAGCAGCAGCAGCAGCAGCAGCAGCAGCAGCAGCAGCCGCAGCAGCAGCAGCAGCAGCAGCAGCAGCAGCAGAAGAAGAAGAAGAAGAAGAAGAAGAAGAAGAAGAAGAAGAAGAAGAAGAAGAAGAAGAAGAAGAAGAAGAAGAAGAAGACGACGACGACGACGACGACACATATAGGCACATATTGGAACAGAAGCAATTGTATACTCATGGCAGCAGGGAAGGAAGGAAGTAGGCAAGAAGTGGCATAAGCATGGGAAGTACACACTAGATCTTAAGATCTAAGACCTGGACTTAGACTTGTGGTGGCTTCTACTGCCTCTACAGTGGTGATTCCCAGCCTTGAATAACCTAGGTGCTCTTGGATACAACTCCCAGAAACCCTGAGCAGCACAGCTGGTGGTGAAGGTTTCCAGGAATTGCAGCCCAAGAACATCTGGATTATCCAAGGTTGGGAACCACTGCTCTATAGCATTGAACAGACAACCTGAAGCAGACCAAGCCAGAAAAGCAGCTTAGGTAGGGCTACATGGGGCCAAGAACATGTGTTCCATATCCTGATCTGAACAAACCATTCAATCATTTGCAAACTTTTGCCATGAGTGCTATCGCTATGGTCAAAAGAGACACACAAATAAATTGTAGGTAAATGGCAACTTCAAACAGAAAGCATATATTTTAAAATACATTGAATTGCTTGTTGCACATCCATCACAAGGAAGAATAGTTCTGGTCAAAAGAGACACACAAATAAATTGTACAGAAAGCATATATTTTAGAATACATTGAGTTGCTTGTTCCACATCCATCACAAGGAAGAATAGTTGTTTCAATGTCTATCAGGAAGTAAGATTCTTGTTGTGCTTTCATTGCTTTTGCCTCCTTTCATCAACTATGAGTACATGTAATGCCTTTCAATGTCTCTTAGCAATCTGGGAAAAGCTACTGCATGTCTCCTTTCAATGCCTTTTTAGTAGGAACGTATTTCCAAAGTCATGTTAGGAGAACTAGGAATACACCTGTCTATCATATAATTATCTTGTCCATGATCAAGAGCCATCCTGGCATAGAAATACCATACATTGCTTGTTCCTTCCAATGATCCTGGGCTTTTGACATTCTGGTTGCCACAGAAACAAATATTTAAATGTATTCCAGCTTTCTCTTATCTGCTTTCTCATCTGCATCAACTACTCAAAGTTGAAGCCCAGCTCATTTTGTTTTAGGCTTTTGAATGTAAGGCCATAACTTCGGAAAGTCTTAAAATATATACTGTACCTCCTCATTCAAGAGTTCTCTTCGTCGCCAAGAAAACCACCACCTGCCACCTTTCTTGGGCATCTTCTCCTTCATTAGTCTGTCAATAGTACTCTGAAAAACATCAGCAGGAGAGAAAGAGACCCAATGTTGAATTATGTTCAGTTCACCCAGGTCCCACAACAAGATGCTCTTACCGCCTTATTCAACAACAGCAATACATGAGTCATACAAATGGATCATATGCCCTGCACCCACACCCATCCCATGAATGGCCAGTATCAAAAGCTTGATCGGAAAGCATTCCATCCACTCTGTAACATTCAACATTGCAACAATGAATAGTCACACAAGATAGGACTTCTGCTGAGCCTAAAGCTACTGTGGAAAAAGAGCAGAACAAAAATGGCTAGTTGGTAGAAGTCTTATAGATGAACTCTTGAGTCCCCTAGAAAGAGCAGGAGGACTCCTACTGAATGACCACCTGGCTGGCAGGGGGCTTTTTATCCTTACTCTCAAATAAATAATTAGACCCTACATAAGAACAACTTACTCTCAAATAAATAATTAGACCCTATATAAGAACAAAAGAAGAGCACTGCTGGGTCAGGCCAAGGGCTCATCTAGTCAAGCTTCCTGTTATCTCACAGTGGCTCCACCAGATGCCTCTGGGAGCACACAAGACAACTAGATACCTGTCTCCTGATACCCCTCCCCTGCAACTGGCATTTGCAGGTACCTTCCTTTTAAGCCTGAAGATTAGACATCTCCATTGTGGCTTGTAACCCGCACATTAGACATCCCCATTGTGGCTTGTAACCCGCACTGGACTTTTCCTCCAGAAATCTGTCCAATCCTCTTTTAAAGGCATCTAGGCCAGATGCCATCACCACATCCTGTGGCAAGGAGTTCCACAAACTAACAACACGCTGGGCAAGGAAATATTTTCTTCTGTCTGTTCTCACTCTCCCAACACTCAATTGGAGTGGATGTCCCCTGGTTCTGGTATTGTGTCAAAGGGAAAAGCACTTCCCTCTATCCACTTTACCCACCCCCTGCATAAAATGCCTTTTTTTTTAAATCTCAGGGCCTTCTTGGAATGGACAACAGTCAATGTTACAGAGTGTTAAAAATCTAATTTAAAGCATACAGCTGATAAGGTGAACTATGAAAACAGGCTTGGGGCATAACAAAGAAGGCTCTTTCTGCTTCTACCTGCAGGACCACGAGTAAGGACTACAGGTAAGGACCAACCATACGTTATGCTCTGGAGTATGGCAAACAGCTAATCAATGATCTTGGAGGATGGTACCAGGTGGTGCCACTTATAATGTAAGCAGGGAAGTGCTTTCCCCTTTTTGAGGGGTTTCTGTTGCATGATCAGTCACATAAGTTGTGCAACAATCTGCCAAAGGGGGTTGTGCACAGTTCCTGTGTTTTTTCCCCAACAAGATTCTGGCTTAAGAGATCAAATAAGAAATGACATGGAGCTAGAAACTCAGTATTGTTTTAAACATACCTTTGGAAGGTTTTTATGGAAAGCCTGTAGGGAGAGGAGCATAGGTGCTGCAACTGCCCAGTTATAATACCTGCAAGTAAAAAACGGTGGACAAACTTCATATCATGTCTAGCTACATTCACCTGGTGACAAAGCACTGGATAGAAGAACCACTGAAGCCACAGAACAGATGGCCATCTAGCATTCTGGGTATGATATCATATAACAGGCACAAGAAAATCAATTCTTATTTTATTAGGATACTTCCACAGGCACTAAGCTGAATCTTCATATCCACATAAAAAAAATCTATTTCCCTAGTTTCTTATCATATGACTAGGGTGAGGTGGAGGTTGCCTAAAAATAATGGCATTTTGGTAAATCTCTCTCTCTTGAAAGTGCAATATCTACATCAACAACCAGCACTGTAACAAAAAGCAAGTTGATCCAAGTTGCTATTGTTGCTAAACTGAACATAAAACGAAAGGCTCTCGACATCTACATACACTTTAGCTACAGTTAAGTTATGCCTTTTGCATTTTGATTTATAGTTTTACAATAATGTTGTTCAATTTTTGTGCATTATAGTTTTAAATTATAATTGGTATGTTTTCTATTAATTGTAGATTGTAAATATTTTTGTATGCTGCCTTAGGTCTCTACTAGGAGAGAAAGGTGGGATTAAAATCAAATCAGATCATAAAAGAGGAACATAATACATGAGCATAAACTGCAGAAAATGAGAGGAATATGAGTTCTAACCTCACACAGTAACCTTTAATACGGGTAAGGGAAGGCATATTTTAAGTAACATCTACAAATTTTATGATGTCTTGAAGGTCATAAAATGCAAGCTGAATGTACTAAAACATACTTACACCTAAAGCTTCCTTGAGGGTTTACATATACCACATAATATCTTTCTACTCACTTCTTATGCATCTGTATCACCAGATTTGGATCATCGAGAATTGCTGGATTCTCTGCAAACTCTTGGTAAGAGACTACATGTTTCATAAACTTCTCTGCTGGAAATTGAAAGGAAATGAAAATACATGCCAGTTCACGAGAAACACCCCCCCCAAAAAAAAAATGTATGTGAAAGCAGTGGCAGAGGCTAACCAGAGGATCACAGCAAACAGATTACCCACATACAAGTCCATCATAGTCCTGCATCATAAGATATAAATTACTAAGTATGCGTATCTTTGATTATTTTCTTCTTGCAGGTGAAACATCCAAAAATATTTCTCCCTGCTCAGATTGATTATGAGAGCTTCTGTGCATTTTTCACATTGTGGGAATTTTATGAATTCCCACAATTTTAAAAAACACTTCATAATTGGTTTTGCACAAAAAAAAATCCTGTGTATTATGCAAAAGCCTTCATTTTTGTGCAAAATACAGAGGTACTATTCCATTTTATGACAAAGAATTAAATAAGTTGTAGAGAAAATTCAATCTATATAAAATCACTGACTTGTTCTTCTCCTTTGCTTTTCTAATAAGTTGCAGCTTTTAGATACCAGTTAAGCAAAATCAAGAAGGAAAAGGCTTTCAGTCACATATAAGCTTGCATAATTTATTTCCTCACCCAGGAACCGCAATGTCTGGATGAGGTTACCAGCCTATCAAAGGAGTCTTGGCTTCTTACTGCTGTGATCTGCTCTATATCTGCTAAGGAGCTATTCTACATAGCTGCCTCATCCACCTCTTCTAGCCCTCATTATAAAGGTAGCTCTAAACTTAGCATGGCTAATAAGGCAGTAAAAGACCCATGAGCACACACTCTTCCTCCCAAACTGAATCTCTGGGGCAAACTATCCAGATAGTTTGTATGTGTTGCTCTGTATAACAAAAGCAATTCTGGATATAGTAATCTGGAAGAATCACTGCCACGAATAGAAAAGCAACAGGAAAGGATTAACTCTCCTCCACTAAGAACCACATCCTCAGTCTGCGTTGAGGCAACCTGTACCGCATTTATCATTTTAAAAACCACGATAAACTGCAGCATGAATCTCTTGCTGAATCATTTAGTTACATCATAACAGTCTCTGCCTAAACTCAATTGCTGGTCCCAAATACAGATCAGAAATCAGACTTATATGTATATAGACTTAGAATCCAACAATTCATTCAGTTGCTCTACTCTAGATGGTAGTAGCAACTGAATTCCAACTTTTGCTATTGGATTCTCTTTCTCCCCACTAACAGCACTCAACACTTTTTCTACTCTAACTTTATCTGATGTTGGCAAAGAATACCAACACAAGTGTACATCCTCCAATAGGTGCACATGTGCGCATGGGGGTGTATACACACACACACGCACACACACACACACCCCTATACCTCTTTTCTGGAATATTCAAAAGTCCTAACACATAGTTTCTTGTCTATACTTTGGACATACCATGAGATAACTCCCCATCATCCCCAAGACCTCCACAGACAGATAGGAGAACGGGGGGCACCTGGCCGCATGCCCTAGGCTCCAAAATATTGTCTGAACTGTTATCAACAGTAGCACTGGCCAGTACATGGTTCTGAGAGAAGCTGCCAGGATCACTTTGTGTTTGTCTGCTCAGCTCAGCATCGCTAACAATGGAAGAAGAAAAGGAACAAAATGTCAGTACAAGTTAATTATGTAGTTTCTGATGTACTTTAAGTCTTGGGGAAAGGTAAGGAAGAGGAAGAAAGCAGATTACTTTATTTTGGAAAGCTCTCCCAAACTTAAAGGTAAGGAAGAGGAAGAAAGCAGATTATTTTGGAAAGCTCTCCCAAACTCTAATTTCTGAGTGGTTGATGAACAAGAATTCTAAAATTCATATTAGAGTTATACTAAATACCCAAATTTCACATTTCAATACATCTTCTCTAACCTTTATATCAGGAGTGAAGAACATACAGCCTTCCACATGTTGTAGGACCATAACTCCCATCAACCCCAGCCAGCATAGTCAATAGTTAAGGATGATGAGAGCTGCATTCTATGTATACTAGCCCCCACCTTGTTTAATTTTTATATCAACGCCTTAGTAGGAAATTTAAGTAACCCCAATTTTCATCAACCTAAACTTGCATCTCACCCAATTTCAATTCTACTTCATGCTGATGAGGCTGTTTTCTTGTCAACAACGTGCATAGGATTTAGAAGACTTTTGAGATCCTTCTCTTCCTACTGCAATAAAGAACAACTAATAATTAACTATGCTAAAACCAAGGTTATGGTTGTTAGTAGAAGGAGAATAAAGCATAAATGGTCTCTGTAGCACTAACAAAAAATTTTTATACTCATGGGGGTAAACATGTTCCATCGGCGATACAAGTTTTTAAGGCCAGGATTATTTCACAAATGCTTTTTACTGAACGCTGTTACCTTCCCACCAAGGTGGTCCCTATTTAGCTACTTGCATTTGCATGCTTTCGAACCACTAGGTTGGCAGGAGCTGGGACAAGCAACGCGCGCTCACTCCGTTAACTGGATTCGATCTTACGAGTGCTTGGTCTTCTGACCCTGCAGCACAGGCTTCTGCGGTTTAGCCCGCAGCGCCACCACGTCCCTATGGTTGGTAGTAGAAGGAAAATAAAGCATAAATGGTCTCTGTAGCACTAACAAAAAATTTTTATACTCATGGGGGTAAACATGTTCCATCGGCGATACAAGTTTTTAAGGCCAGGATTATTTCACAAATGCTTTTTGGCTCTCAAATATTTGCCTTGCTAATTTACGACATCTGGAGATTGTTCACACCAAATTTGGGAGAGCTATTCTTGAAGTTCCACCTTGTACTTCCAATGTAGCTCTCTGTTTAGAGGTTGGGTTAATATCCATTAAAGCATTAGCCAGAGTCCTTATGGTAAAACCTGCAGCACAGGCTTCTGCGGTTTAGCCCGCAGCGCCACCACGTCCCTATGGTTGTTAGTAGAAGGAAAATAAAGCATAAATGGTCTCTGTAGCACTAACAAAAAAAATTATACTGATGGGAGTAAACATGTTCCATCGGCGATACAAGTTTTTAAGGCCAGGATTATTTCACAAATGCTTTTTGGCTCTCAAATATTTGCCTTGCTAATTTACGACATCTGGAGATTGTTCACACCAAATTTGGGAGAGCTATTCTTGAAGTTCCACCTTGTACTTCCAATGTGGCTCTTTGCTTAGAGGTTGGGTTAATATCCATTAAAGCATTAGCCAGAGTCCTTATGGTAAAACACTGGCTTAAGCTGATTTTTTCATTAGAAGGCTTGGCCCCACTGATCCTACCAGATTCTTTTCAGTCAGAGTGGAAGAAGCGTATAACTGAAGAGATATTGAAAATTGGCTTTTCTCCCAGTATACTTATAGCAATGGGTCTCACGGATGCCATCAAAGGGGTGAAATTAAGGGTATGGGATATTGAACTACAGGAGCATGTTGGCCAGTTAGGGAAGTCTAACTTTCTTAAGAAATCTGCTTTTATCACCTCCTCGTATTTAGTTAGCACTATGTCATCTAAAGTCATAAAGGCTTTTACACTAGCTAGGCTCAATGTATTTTCTTCTAAGCTTCTGGATAGAAGATTTCGAGGTTTGCCTACATCAGATTATCTCTGCTCTTGTAACAGTGATAAAGTTGAATCAGTTAGTCATCTTCTCCTTTTCTGTACTTGCTATCAGGATCTATGTATGGAGCTTTTACTACCTGTTATCTGTAAATCTCCCAGGAGATCAGAGGAGGATTATATACAGATGCTGCTCTCTGACAATACCCCTTATATTACGAGACAAGTGGCCAAATTTTGTGCTTCAGCAATGGTTATTTGTGTTCAGATGTTTAGGTAGGCGATTTTAGATGGATAACATAATGCTTTTAATATAACACTGGCTGAGGTTTTATTTATACTAAGGATATACAGTGATGCCTCACTTAACGATTGCCTCACTTAATGAGGAAATCACTTGACGATTAGGTTTTTGCGATCGCAAAAGTGATTGCAAAACGATGGTCTAAATGGGAAAAATCTGCTTCACAATGATGGATTCTGGCCAATGGAGTTTCAAATGGCTTGACCTGTGCAGTGTAGATGCATTCTTGGTGTCCTCTGGTAGGTTTACCAGGTTCTGGAAGTGTCCATTCGTTGAATATTACAATTAATACTTCCCATAATAGCCTACGTATGGATGCGGTCCATAATATAGTGGGGAGTAGACAAGTTGGTGTCTTCCAAATGTTTCAGACCACAATTCTTTAATTCTCTAACCATTGGCTAAGTTGCCTGTCACTTGTACAAAACATGAAGGATCCTCGGTGCGCTACACCTCTCACATCCTTTCTGCCAAAGGTCTTATAATACAATGTGGATCTGCTTCCTTTGCAGGAACCACAGCTAGCGGTGGATTCTGTTGTCAGCACCCCTAAGACGCAGATCTCTGTGGAAACCAAGCAAAAGGGTAATTTTGTTTCTTTGGATGAAGTGTTCACAAGGTTGTGATTTTAAAAAATCCAATGAAGGTTCCACCAGCAGGACTCAAGGCAGCTAACAACAAGATTAGGAAAAGGTTCAAATAGGGAATCTAGACCACAGATCAACCTTTCCTTCTTACTTAATACATTTGTGCATTGACACAGCCTTATACATGTAGTTCCTTAACTTCTACTCCAAGTAAACATAAGAGATAAGCTGCACTCTTTGATTTGTCAAAGAGAGGGGGAACCTCTTCTTGCCTAGGGCTGAGCTTTCAACACAACAATAATTTTTTTCTCTAAATATGAATCAGCTGGATTGTTCTATGAAGATTGTCCAACTTTGGATAGAGCTGTGTTGCGCTCACAGGGGTGTGTGTCATGATCACATGCATGCCCGCGAGTACAACACGCCCCTCTGCAAACACGACATGCCCCCATGCGTGTGGGGGGGGGAGATCTGTATCCGCGGCCCAGTTCCAGGGAGCCCGTGGACCGCCCCTGAGCTGCGGATAGGGGGTTGGGGACCCCTGCTCCAGAGGATCTATAGAGAGTAGGGTATCTAGTGAAATTATGCTGTAATATAAAATTACATGGAGTGGAAGTGAAGGTACAAGAAAGGTGGATCCGTGTGCCCACATTTCAAGTGAGGTGTGTGGGAAACTTGATCTGTACTTTGAATGTCCTTGCTGTTCGGGTTTTAATTAATTAATTAATTAATTAATTTAATTTCTATGCCACCCAATCTACCCAGAGGTCTCTGGGCGGCTCACAACAATTAAAGTTCAATACAGTAAAAGATAAAATGATTAAAATACAATTAAAATACAATTAAAATTGCCATCATCAGGACCCACAGTTGATGTTATTTCAATTAAAAGCCTTCTGGAACAGGAAGGTTTTGACCTGGCGCCGAAATGTCATCAACGTCGGCGCCAGACGAATTTCAGTTGGGAGGGCGTTCCATAGTCTGGGGGCAGCTGCCAAGAAGGCCCTTTGTCTACAAGCCATCCCTCTTACCTCCTTGAGGGATGGCTCTTTCAAAAGGGCCCCCTGGCTAGATCTTAACTGCCGGGTAGGCTCATATGGATTTAAATTCAGCAAAAAAAAAATTTTAACTTACTTTTTTTCTTGAGAAATTTCCTGCTTTTTTAAAATGTAGGAACACACATATATATCATTGTTGGAAAAAAATAGTCTGTCTTTTCTAAACAAGTTAAGGTAAGGGGGCAAAATTATGCCACCATGTAAATAAACAAACCAAACAGTCAACCAGAGCAGAGCAATTGCCCTCCTCCAGAAACTTGTTTCAGGACCAGATGTGTTCCACCCAAAACTAATTCTGCTCAAAGATAGGCTTAGAAAGCCATAATCTTTACTTGGCAACTACCACTCAGCTTGGGGACAAGGCACAAGCAGCGATGTCAAACTTTCAGAAGGCGGCAGGATTGACAGGTAGAATTGCAATGAATATTAACCTTAATGAAGGATATAGAATTGCAATGAATATTAACCATAATGAAGGATGAGCAAAGCAAGGGGCAGCCTTGACATTTAATTTTTGTGGGAGAGGTAACTTGGAAAACCACTCGTGTTATGAATCATATAGTGGCTGGAAACACTGGGTAATAAAAAGAGAAAAAGCTTTAACGCTAATAATAGGCCATCAAGTCAATTCTGACTTATGTCAACCCTTTTCAGGGTTTTCCGGGTAGAGCATACTTAGAAATGGTTTCCCATTCTTGGGAGTGCCCTGGGGCTCTGCAGCTTGCCCAAGGCCACCCAAGCCGGCTTTCCTCACAGGAGGCACTGTGAGGAATCAAACTCCCAATCTTTGACTCCACAGCCAGATATTTAAACCACTGAACTAGCCAGCCATTTTTAATGCTAACACATAATTCTAAATACAGTGGTGCCCTGCTTTACAGTTACCTCGTTAAACGACGAAATCGCTTCACGGCGATGTTTCAAAGGGTGATTTTCGTTTGACGATGATCGGTTCCCTGCTTCGGGAACCGGTTCTTCGCATTACGAGGATCTAAAAACAGCTGATCGTCAGGTTTCAAAACGGCCGCCGGGTGTACAAATTGGCTCCCTGCTGTTTTTAGGAACCATTTTTCACTGTACAGGCATCTGAAAATGGCCGCCCCTGTGGAGGATCTTCGCTGGATGGTGAGTTTTCAGCTCATTGGAATGCATTGAACGGGTTTCAATACATTTCAATGGGCTTTTTTATTTCACTTAACGATGTTTTTGCTCTACAGTGATTTCACTGGAACGAATGAACATAATCAAGTGAGGCACCACTGTACATTGTTATTAACTGGAAAGTAGGGGTTGTTTTATTATGTTCCAACTGAAAATATTATAACTCTGCCTGATTTTATGAAACTACAATTATATATATGTATTTTATATTGATTTGATTTTACTGGTCTTTTACCGTAATAAAGTATTCATTCATTCATTCATTCATAAGGATGATGAGAGCTGCATTCCAACAACATTTGGAGGCCCACATGTTGCCCAACAGTACTAAATACAGTCATGTGGAAAAAAAGCATACCCTCTTTGAATTCTATGGTTTTAAATATCAGGACATAATAAAAATAATCTGGTCCTTAGCAGGTCTGATAATTAGGTAAATACAATCTCAGATGAACAACAGCACATGACATATTATACTGTGTCACGATTTATTTTACAAAAACAAAGCAAAAATGAACAAATCATATGTGAAAAACTAAGTACACGTTGTGATTCAATAGCTTGCAGAAGCACCTTTAGCAGCTATAACTTGAAGTAATCATTTTCTGTATGATTTTTCAGTCTCTCACATCATTTTGGAGGAATTTTGGCCCATTCTTTTTTACAATGTTGCTTCTGTTCATAGAAGTTTGTGGGCATTTGTTTGTGCACAATTCTCTTAAGGTCCTGCCACAGCACTTCAATCCAGTTGGGGGCTGGACTTTGACTGGGCCATTGCAACAGCTTGATTCGTCTCTTTTTCAGCCATTGTATTGTAGATTTGCTGATGTGCTTGGCATCATTGTCCTGTTCCATGACCCAATTTTGGCCAAGCTTTAGCTGTTGGACAGATGGCCTCACATTTGACTCTATACTTTGGTATACAGGGGATTTCAGGGTCAGCTCAATGACTGCAAGGTGCCTAGATCCTGTGGCAGCAAAACAAGCCCAAATAATCGCCCCTCCACCACTGTGCTTGACAAATGGGATTTGTGCTGATATGCTGTCACCCCTCCACCACTGTGCTTGACAATTGGGATTTGTGCTGATATGCTGCATTTAGTTTTCATCAAACATGGTGCTGAGCATTTTGGTCTCAACTGTGGTCTCATCTGCCCAAAGAACATCATTCCATAAGTCTTGTGGTTTGTCCAGATCCAACTTAGCTAAGCTAAGGCACACTGCCATGTTCTTTTCAGAGAGAAGAGCTTTCTCCTGGCAACCCTTCCAAACAAACCATACTTGTTCATTCTTTTTCTAATTGTACTGTCATGAAGTTTAACATTTAGCATGCTAATGGAGGTCTGTAAAATCTGAGATGTAACATGTGTGTGTGGGGGGGGGTGTTTTTTTGTGGGGGTTTTTTTGCATTTTCTCTGAGCACTGCACAGTCTGACCTTAGGACAAATTTGCTTGAACATCTACTTCTGGGAAGATTGACAACTGTCTTGAATGTTTTCCACTTGTGAATAATCTTCCTCACTGTAGAATGACAGACTTTAAATTGTTTGGAAATAACCTTATAACCCTTCTGAGATTGAGAAGCAGCAACAATTGCTTCTCTGTGATCATTACAGATGCGTTTCCTCCTTGGCATTGTGCTAACACATACCTGAATGCTTCAGACTAGCAAACTGCTAAAACGTCAGCTTTTACAGAGGTGGTCATATTTGATGATGATCAGCTGCTAAAACTTCAGCTTTTATAGAGGTGGTCACATTTGATGATGATCACTCAGGGGCATTTGGTTAATAGCACCTGACTGCTACTTAACCTTTTAATTTTTATGGGCGCAGTAAGGGCGTACTTAGTTTTTTACACATGGCTTCTTCATTCTGGCTTTATTTTTGCAAAATAAATCATGGCATGGTGTAATATGTCATGTGTTGTTGTTTTCAGCTTTTATAGAGGTGGTCACATTTGATGATGATCACTCAGGGGCATTTGGTTAATAGCACCTGACTGCTACTTAACCTTTTAATTTTTATGGGCGCAGTAAGGGCGTACTTAGTTTTTTACACATGGCTTCTTCATTCTGGCTTTATTTTTGCAAAATAAATCATGGCATGGTGTAATATGTCATGTGTTGTTGTTCATCTGAGGTTGCATTTACCCAATTTTCAGACCTGCTAAGGATCAGATGATTTTTATTACATCCTCCTGATATGTAAAACCACAGAATTCAAAACTTTCTTTTTCACATGACTGCATGTATAAACGCATTGTTATAACCCAGGTGCTGCATTATTTGAAGCTGCTTCTGTTCACTTAGCAGTTAATGATCAGAACATGATCATGTTAATACTACAGTCAGTAGTAACTTGCACACAACAGTGAACCCCAAAGTTTTGTAATTTTGCACACAAGAAACGTGAGTGTTGCATTCCACTTTCAAAAAAGATTTTCCCCCCAGTTTTGATCCCCTCCTCCTCTGTAGTTATGATGAAGTAAGAAGCCTTTCTGGTTTTGGCTAACTGCAGTTTATCACGATGTCCAAACTATGGATGTCATTTGAAGAACAGCATTGACAAGGCGAATGTGTGCAGAGAATGGTGATTAGAAGAGTTGTGTCATCTAGAAATCATGTCCTAAGAGCAGAGAGTTGGATTAAAGATTGCTAAAATCTCCTCGGTCTGTAAAATGTTATAGTCAAACCAGCATCATTAACCATACCTTTTGGGAAAATAAAGTGCTAATTGTTCTGCATCCAAATTCGAGAGTTTAAAGGTGTTCTGTGTGAACCAACCTGGGGTATGTATGATTGAGACTAAGCCACGTTACTGTATCTTATTCACTTGATCATTTTATTTTCCCTGTGTGTTATTTAAATAAACCTTATTCCTTTGTTTGTTAAAAATCCATTCCTGGTCTGTGTGACTCCTTACAGGGAATGGTTGGTGGCAGCTTAGTTAAAGGGTGGCATACCCCAGTAGGTCTGGGGTTGTCACAGTAAGAAGCCTTTCTGTTTTTGGCTAACTGCAATTTATCACGATGTCCAAACTATGGACGTCATTTGAAGAACAGCATTGACAAGGTGAATGTGTGCAGAGAATGGTGATTAGAAGAGTTGTGTCATCTAGAAATCATGTCCTAAGAGCAGAGAGTTGGATTAAAGATTGCTAAAATCTCCTCGGTCTGTAAAATGTTATAGTCAAACCAGCATCATTAACCATACCTTTTGGGAAAATAAAGTGCTAATTGTTCTGCATCCAAATTCGAGAGATCTTCTAAATAAATATCAGTAGGTCCCAGATGAGGGCTTCTCTTCAAAGAACCTCAAAGATATCCAAAAGTTGTAATTAACAGCTGCTTTCAATAAGAAATTCCTGCATATGTCTACAATTGCTTGCTCTAATAATGGAGCCATCAAAAAACAAATTATTAGATTCTCATACTTGGGGAACCCCCTGAGTATGTACAGTACAAGTATGTAGGTCTTCAAGACAAAATGACCATAAACAGTAATATGAGCTTCCACAATCAAAAGCATTTTCAGGGCATAGAAATAATAATATCAAGTCACAATCTCATTGTCAGCAGAAAGAAACTCTGGGTTTACACTAAGAGTGCTCAAGAAAGAAACTATTTTTGTGTTTTTATGTGTAGGCATGTATGGTACACAAGTGCATGTACACATGTACAAGATGCCCACTGTTGCTCAATAGTGAAAATCCTAGACTTCTTCATGTTTTCCTACAGTCTGTTCCCAGCAGCTTGCTGAAAAAGAGTGCAAGAGTGAAATGGCATGGAAGAACAGATGAAAAGTCCATGCTGTGGGTTTAAAGCAACAACTACAAAAAGAACTATCCCCCCCTAAGATATTTTCCTAGTCATGACCTAAATTAAGGAAGGGAGTTTTTGGCTCATGGCTTGAATTCCTATTTAGGAAGAGTCTCTTGGGAGGTGCATGTGATCTATTCCTGCAATTGGTAGAACTAAGAGTATGGAGTAGAGCCAAGGCAAAACGGATGAAAACTGATGTAGTTTTTGCCAGAATGTCTTATGCAATACTAGGGACTTAGCCTCACAGGGCTAGGGACTTAGGATGTAAAGCTTTGCTAATTTTGTTCAGCCAGGAGAAGGTGAAAAAAGTAAAAACAAAAATAAAAAAACACCCCACAACTAGGAAAGATTATAAGAATTTTCCATATTTTGCACATTTCAAAAATAATGTCACAGTGGTTGGCCGTTTTTCAGTAGGATGGACTGATGTGGTGAAACTTCATCATGGACAAGAACATTTATGAATGCTTGTTCCATTTTTACTGAGGACACATTACAACATTAGATTGTGGGATCCCATTTGTAAAGTGGGCTAAATAGCTCAACGAGTTAGTTGGTTAAGAGTTTGATTCCCCACTATGGCTCCTGCAAGTATAGTCAGTAGAGATGGGGGTATTTGTATTCATATGTATTCATATATTCCCACACAGCTGGAGTTAACAAGGGTCCAGCCCTCCACTCACACATTCGCCGGTGGCCCCTCTCTTCCTTCCAATTGCTTTGGAGTGCCGCTCGGCTAGCCACTCGGCACCCTTGCAGGAAGACTCATCCTCCCTCCCTCTGCCAGGAGTGGCTAGATGACTAAGAAAAGAACAGCACTCAGAAGTGATTGGAAGGATGGACAGGGCCAGCAGCCCCCCAGGGTCTGGACCCTCATTAACTCCAGCTGTGCAGGGATATTCATATATGAATACCCCACCTCTAACAGCCAACCCGTGTGGCTTTTGCAAACTGCACAGTCCCAGGCTACCACCAGAAGAAAGGAATGGGAAACCTCTTCCGACTGCTCTCTACCTAGAAATCACTGAAAAAGTTTACCGTAAGTCCAAATTGACTTGTTAGCACACAGTTATTATTAGTATTTTCATTTCTATAGAAAGTTGTAATAGTTTTCAATCTCCACTTACTCTTCCTTTTCTCTTGTCTGACCTCTGGGCTGCTACAAGGCTCTATGTCCACCCAGCTAGTTTCCTCCAAAGACCCAGTCTTTCCAGTTGTCTCCTCAATGAACGTTATTCCTTCATTCTCTGCAGATCCTGCTCCACCTCGACCATCTTCTGGAAGGCTAGTGGTAATCTCTAGATTACAGTCAAGCACCTGAATGGAAGGACATGCCTCTTGCCCTGCACAACCATTTCCAGCAGAGAAAACAGGGGTTGGCCTAATAATAGGAACGACTGGAGAGTATGATGTTTTATCAGAGTCCACTAAGCACGCATCACTTTCTGAGCCTCCAGCAATGGCCACAAAATGGGTTGTCTCACGTACTGGAACAGTGGTGGTTGTTTGGGTGATGGTTGCTGTTGTGGAGACACTCACAGAGAGTTTGGTTGAATCTACTCGTTCTGATCTGCTCACCTTAAAGAAGGGGAAAGATTCTCGAGTTACAGACCAGGGAAACAACACGAGATGTAACAAATTAAAGTGCTCTTCAGAGATCAGATATGCAATTATAGTAGACACTTATAATTAGTATGGCCAATTATTTCTATGTTGCTTGCAACCACTCCTGCAAATATACAAATGCTGGAGGTTGCAGTTTGCTGATTAGTTTATTATTAGTGTTGCAAGCACAAGTGCATAACCCATTTGTCACATTCCAGAACTGACAATTCAAGCAGAATAGACATTTAAACTGAACAAAATTCTGCAGATAAGAGAATGTCAGAACAGAGGGGAATGAAGGGAATTCTTTTATTTAAATAATAACCACTAGAGATGGGCATAAAGCACTTCATTGTGCTTCAGCCTGATTCATTGGCAAAGCATCACAGGTCCTGCATATTCCCTCCCCCCTCTCCCCACCAGGTTCCCCACTCATAATTCAACATTCAACATGTGCCAGCCATGTCCATCTTCTTCACTGGTGCTCCAGTCCAGGCAAGAGCTTCGGCTTCCCTTCCCCGCCTCCTCCAGAAGCCGACCAATCAATGGCTGAATCAAAAGGATCATCATCTGAGTTGCTGGCTGACAGAGAAAGCAAGGAATGGAAGGCTGGGCTTCTGTCTGAATTGGAGAAGGAGGAGGACCCAGCCAGCATGCACTGAATTTTGAGTGGGGAAGCCAGCCAGGGTGGATGGAAGAGGGAATGCCACACTGACAAATCGGGCCAAAGCACAACAAAATGTTTCACACCCATCTCTAATAACCACAGATAAAGGATTTGAGAAATGACCCATATGGCTTGAAACATATACAAAACTTCTCTGTCTAAATCACTTTGCAACACAATCACTTGCATTGCAAATACCTACCTACCTACCCGAACCCACCTACCCTCCCTCCCTCCCTCATTCAAGGTGGCATACATGGTTTTTTCCCCTATTTTATCCTGTCAATAAATGAGGGTCCAAGCATAACATTACAGGTAGCGCATCAGAAGCTGAATCTTGCCCATATTCCAAAGATGTGACAAGCAGATCTTTTCCTGATGGTGAATTTTAAAATAAATCCATTCTGTATAACATTCTGTATATTCCATTCCTCCTATACTCACCTCTGGCAATCTTCCCCATGACCAGTGCAGATGTGATTCGGAGCCATGCAGCAGATCAGGATTTCGAAGTTCCAATTCAGAATCACTTTTTGGAGCTGATGAGCAGTTCGGAGAAAGGCTGAGAACAGAAGATAAAGGAAGACGACTTATCTGGCAGCCCATGTCATGATAAAACTCGTCCTAACCAAGAAGTCATTATAAGGGACAAATGTAATGAAACAGCAGCCTGAATAAAGATGGAGTGTGTCTACACTACAAAGCTATAGAAATGGGATACCATTTGCACTGCTGTTCTTCCATTCCACAGAATCCTGCATTTGTAGTCTGGCAAGGTACTTCTGTTTTTGTGCTGTAATTTGGGAAATGGCACTAGAATTCCTCAGCAGAGATCTCCAATATCTGATGAAACAACAAATCCCAGGATTCCACAGGGCAGAGTTATGACAATTACAGGAGTATCATGTTGTTATAAATTCTGTAGTGTAGATACACTTTCATAGATATTGGAAACAAGGTCAGCAGACATGCTTTCTACATCCCATTCATGTGTTCATTTAAAAAGCCAGTGTGATTCACATTAGATTGTCCCACTGCATCATCTACTGTTATTGTTTACCTCTGCAGAGGAGGCAGTTCTCCATCAGAATAGGGATAGGCTTCCTGAGGTTGCAAAGTCCCAGCTTCTTCATTCTGAACATCAGTGAATGAATAATACATTGTATTGCTGGTAAGAAAAATGAAAGGAAAAGTAGGTAAAATGGTATCATACATCATATGGGGGCCATATTTAAAAAGAAGCTTCCATAATTAGGGCACATTGGCTCTTCAAACAGCTGTGGTCATGAGGATAGAAACAGTTCAAGTTCCAGATTTCAAGGATACTTTTTTGCATGTGAGACCCTCTACAAGCAGCCTTTCCCAGCCAAGTCTCCCCGGATGTCCTGCTATGCTCATCATCCCCAGAAAGCCTGTTCACTGACCTGGATGATGAGGACTGTACTTCACCATTTGGGGACCCTATGCGTAGAAAGTCTGCTACAGGTTAAACAATCAGGTTATGTAATTAATGGGGGTGAACCGTTTGTTTTGTGGGTTTTTTGGAAGGGGCTTGGACTCCAGCTTCCAGAATTCTCCACAAATTCCCCAGGCAGCCAACAGACATACACCTACATTTCACACACCTAGAACAAGTCCTATCTTGGAGGCTTCTGAGTCCTTTGTTTCCTGTTGCTGGTGCTTTCAATCCAGCTCTTTATCTCTCCCCTACCAATTCACCCTCTAATTCCAACCCAAGGTGCCAATTATCTTTCACTGTGTACAGTATCACCCAAAATTATCACATGCTTCCTACTAGGTACAAAAAAGTATGGTTTCATCAAAATGATTCTGACCTCCCAAAGATGTTCCAAGCTATTTCCCACCATTGGTAGGCCAATGAACCATTATTTCCATAAGCAGATGGATCACAACTCCCAGGCCCTCTAGGCAGCATGAGTAGAGACTATAATGGCAAAGGAATTCTAAGAATTATCACCCCTGCATATGTTCTAACAGACCAAGTTCTGTCCTCTCCTATCCAGCCGTGAACCAACAATAACATTTACCAAAGCTGGCACTTGCAACAATTTCACACATTTTGGTAGTTCAAAATGTGCTAACTCATCTGGAAGTCAATAGCATTGGCCAACTCACCTGGAAGTCAACAGTTTCCGCTTCTCCTCCAGAAGTTGCTCACTTTCAGTCCCCTCTTCTTCTGAAGTTGAATCTGCAGATGATGCCCTCTTCCTTGGCTTCTTCTTTCTCCGTCTCTTCTTACGGAAAGCTGTGTCTGAGCCCAAACCTTCAGGGTTGCTATACAAGCTGGAAGATCTGGTGACAGCATCCGAACTTTTCTCAGAGGGGATGGGAGATGTACACAAAGACGTGGGGAGAGTCTCCTGAAACCATACATAAAGGAAAAACAATACCACTGAAGCTCAGAGGCAACATAAGGATGGATCAAAATTGTAAAACCTCGAAGACTGACACCAAGGGAAACCAGATTCTATGGATCCAATTCAAACTGAACCTCCATGACTGTAGAGCAAAAAAGAAGCGCGTACTAGGATTCTGCCAACTGTTGGAGAACTAGGGCTTGTTGTGAAGTTGCAACCTCTGCTTCCCAAGAAAAACATAGCAATGGGAAGAAGTGTAAATCTTGCTTAGTGGGCTACATGCTGCTGGTTCGTAATGCATTTTTGCAATATAGCACAGCCAGCCTACTGTACATTGCCTCAGAAGTAAGCATCATGCAGTTTCTGGGCCACATGTGACCCTTCAAAGGCTATTTCTGTGGTCCAAGATGCCTCCTTCAATCTTCCTATTGGAAAGATCTGTCCAAAGAAATTAAACAAACAACAATTCTCTCTCTCTTTCTCTCTCATACGCATATCTACACATACATATGTACCCACCTTATTTTGACCAAACTAAGGGTTTTCAGTGCATACGGACTATTGCAATACACTATATTGTAAACCACTGATTGTGCATTCCCACTGGATGATCACTAGGCACTTATGGCTGAATACCAGTAGTGTAATTTTGATCAGTTTTGGATTTACTGGAACAGACTGGTATGGTTCACAAGGGTTTGTGGGGCAGGAAACAGCTCAGTTGCTTGCCTATGGCCAGTCAGCAACTGGGATTAATAAGCTACAGTATATGAACAACCTGAATACAATAATGTTGTGCATGTAAGGCATCAACCTGCCTAATCTTTGCAGTAGGCACTAAAAAAGTAGTTGAAGAAAATGTTCACAACTCCTTCTTGTCTCATATCAGGGTTTGAGCTGAACAGGGCACACAATCAGCATTTATTCCTTCTTTGTTATTGCAGATTTTGGCATGATGGATCAAAGAGCTTCTGCAAGTGCCTTCCTCCCCCACTCCTCTTACAGGGAATAGCACAATAATTTAGTCTTTGACTCCGATAATTCTAACCACTGATGGTCTATTGCATCCAACAGGGGTTCCAGCCAATAATTGCTTCTCTTATTTATTTTACCACGAATAATCAACCATAACAATCTATGTAGTCTGTATGTTATTATTACATGACTGACGTTTTGTACCTTTCTGTATTTTATGAGTATTCATTCATTCATTCACAGAAAATATTTTACCCCACCTTTCTCCTTAAAGGGCCCATGGCGGCTTACAACAATTAAAAGGAAGTGTTCACTCACTTTAAACTTCTCCATTGGTCACCTTCCTGACCCAAGAAATTCTTAGCATCCTAGACATCAATCAACATCTCAAATGCTTCCATCTTTTAAAAACCCCATTCCATGCAAGTAACACCATATGATGTGCATGCTACATTCCTCAGTTTTAAGACGTTGCTCTGAGCCATCCATATTCTGAGTTTTCTTGTTGGTTCTGATCCCACTGTTCATTCAATCAAATTCCTGAGTACTTATATTTGCCAATATGCCTCACCATTCTATTTTAAATCTTTAACTGCATTTCTATTGGCCATTTGATTTTTACTAATTACCATGAACGTTATTTTCTTAATATTTATTTTCAGACTCCTTTTTTATTTACTTGTTTTACTTCACTGTGTAACTTTGCCTCTCACAGTCCTGATGGATCAGAAACTGCGAAAGTATCTATGCCAGCTCTAATGCTCTCTACTCAGCCTACCTTTTGTTCCTCTGATTCTTGGACAAAAAATGCTTCTCCATTGTCACCCAATTTCATCTGCAGATTGACTGGTTCCCCATTGATTTCTATGTCAACCTACAAAGAAGATGAGAGGGGGTATGTGCATAAAACTGCAAAGAAAATATCCCAGGGAAGGCTCAACTGTACACAGACAGAACCCTAAACATGTTCGACACCAGAATCTGGAGATGCTTCAGGAATCTGAAGAGGTGTTCTATTTTTTTTTCAATGACATGTATCACTTCTGAATTTGCTTCTCCCTTTATGAATTAATTTATGAAGATTTTTTTTTGTAAATTGCCAATCTTTCATCTTTTTGTTGGTGATATACATTTTCATTTTTGGAAAAAAGCATCAACGTCCACCCTATGGCTTGGTTGATTTAAGTTGCGTCATTTTACATCAGGAGATTAAAACAAAACACAGCCGATATTAATGGACATATGAATTAACTGAAAATACTGCAAACTTAGAATGGTACATGCTGGGCATTGAGGTGGGAGATAAAAGCAAGCAGCTATCAGTGGAATAGCCACCTCTCTTTCAAAGAATGGGTTCCACACACCCCTTCAGGCCTCCATTTTGTTTTTGTTTTTACATTCATGGTACTGCCCTCATATGCAAGACAGAACATGTCCTGCATTGTAATTCCTGCCATAAATTGCATCCCTCTCTTGAGTTCACCAGCAGCAGCAGCTTCACAAGTGAGATCTGAAGATTTTGAGGAAAAAGGAAACAGTTAGAAAGGTTAAAGTACATATTGTACCTTATTTGAAAAGCTCAGGAACAATGTAAAATGACATGAGCTCCCCCACCAAACAAAAAACAAAAACAAAAAACCAGGAGCATGTCCCCATAGAACAGTCACACCTTTCTGCAGCATAAATTCTCTTGGCAGAATTGCACAGTACTTTATTTTTAAACCTAGAAATTAGCAGTATACAGACTGCACAAGGTATATGTGTGATGATATGCTTCACTGTGAAACTGTTTATTGCTTTTGAGTCTGTAACCACAAGCACAAAGAACAACGTCAGCCCCAACACACAGCACATTAACTGTGCTTCTATATATATTATTATGGGATTGGGATTGTTCTGCCATAGCTCTTAAGAGACCTTCGGGTAGTGTGGGCGGCATATAAGTTAAATAAATAAATAAATAAGTCACAGGAGATAATTGATAACAAATTTGGGCTCAAAGGCATGTTGGATTTTTGACTGGAGGAACATGGAAATGCAAAGACAAAGGAAGCAAATTGCTAATGACTTTTTCATATTTGTTGACAGTTTCAGAGACCAGCTAAAGAAGATTAAATCAATAACCGATCTATAATGCAACCAAAACTCAAATCCCAGAGGCCCGAAAAATTCAACACCTACATAAGTTTGGTTGTCTCCATATCAACAGAGATATGGAAAGAATTGGTATAACTGGGGATCTTTTGGCAGGTGTGGTTAGACTCCAACATTTTGGTTTCAGGGTCTATAATATGCATCTGGTGACTTTATGCTCATTCATATAAGCCTGGAGCAGAGAAACTATATGTTCTTGATATTCACAAAAATCTCAAACACATCATGCCATATTAAAAAGATTGTTTGAGTATTCGATACATATTCCACAGGCCAAATTTTGCAACATTCAGGCTGTGATCCTAAACACACCTTTAATTAACCATTGATTTCAGTAGAAAATACTATATGGATATGCCTTATCTTTGGATGGATGATAATTTTCAGTTCAGTTCAGTTTTTCAAGAAGTTCCAACCCGGGGAAAACAAAAATGAGAGATTTGTCTACCCAATGAATCAATGCTCAACTTTTTAAACATCTAGTTTTGACTCTCTGTGTATCTGGTCGTGTTACTGCTGAGTTAGAGTTACCACCTTTTTTTCTCCTTGAAGACACTTCATCTTTGGGGTGGGGGCACAGCACAATCCTCTTTATGTTAGGAAAAGATGTACCTATCTAATCTGGACAGTGAAGACGCAAGAGAGTTTCAATTCAATATTGAACAATTTCACCAGGATTTGCAAATTTCTTAATATTTGAGATGGAAAGATCTTAAGATTTAAGTACATTTGAAAATAGAACAAAATGAAACTGAAAGATTCTCCCACCACCGATACTGTCTCCATATAGCTGAAGTCACTTACCACTTTTTCACTGGATCGCAAAACACGTAGCTTCCCAAAGCGCACATGGAAAGGTGAACAGTGTAAGGAGCCATCTGGCTGCCTTACCACAACGACATCAATGCAGCCAGTCAGGGTGGCAGGGTTGAGACCCTTATACAGCTTCTTTACAGTGCCAAATACGGTTTCAGCAATCTGACCCACATAGTTCATTGTCTGTAGCTACAAGCACAAAGAACAAGGAGACACAGAAAGAGATTAGGTGAGCTGTTTAGAAACCTGTGCTGTGTACTGGTGAAGTTATATAGCACTTCCAGAAAGTAACAGTGTTGAAGAATAGAGATGGGCATGAACCCGTTCATCCCAATTTGTCCCAGTTCATCAAGGTGGCAGCACAGTTACTGCTGCTCCCCTCCTCCACCCCCTCGGCCAATCAGCCACTCATCAGACACAGCTTGCTTGTTTTTTCCACCTCCTCGGCTAATCTCCCAGTCATGATCAAGAGCCTCTGCCCTGCCCTGTTTTCTGAGTGGGAGATCAGCCAAGATGCCAGGGCAGAGAAGCCTGAGCTGTTGCCTTTATGAACTGGAATGAACTGGTTCACTCCCATCTCTAGTGCTTTATCTCCCAAGGCATGGATGGTTGAGACATGATATAAAGCCAGAAATCTTTCTTCAGGATGCTTGCTTGGTTCCCTACATCTTGTTTTTCAGGGGGACATGAGGGGGAGGGAACACCCTCAGGCCACAGGGCTAAACCTGGCCATTTTGAAGAATCAAATATATTTTCCAGGCTTCCCCATATGTCTACATTGTCTTTTTAATGACAGATTTGCTTGGTAGTTTCCATGTTCTTATGCGTTTGTGTTAGGAACTCTGTTACTCTTAGGTCTTTTATACTTTATTGTGATAGTACTGTGGTTTTTCTTTCTAATTTCATACCACAAATTAATTTAAAATATTTTTGAATAATAATTTAAAATGCTAAAATAAACTAGGTGTTTGTGCTTGTCTTAAGTTTTAAATTATGATTTTTTTAAAAGTAAAAGATGGTTATATCATGGTGAAGAAAAAGCAAAAACATGAGGTTTTATCAAAAAAATTTAAAAAACGTATGATGCACTAAGTTTGGGAACCATTAGCCTCTAAATCTGAACAATATGCTTGTTCCTAAAGGCCAAGAAACACCAAGCAAAATCTGAGAAACATTTATCTTTCAAATGTCATGATTAAAAATGGGTGTGAATCTCTGGTTCGGCAGTTTGTGCCAGTTTGTTTGGCACTTCAGAGCCCTGCCTCCTCCAGCACGAACTCAGTTGGAGGCACTGGCCTGGCTTCCCTGTCCTGCCTTCTCTGGGTACCACCTCTGAGTGGACACCCACTGGAGGAGGCAGGGTTTGCAGCATCAAAAGAACTATCCTGGGATTATGCATGTTATCTTCCACTGGTGACCTTTTGATATCTTGGTTGCTTCTGTCAGGGGTTATCTGTTGTTCTTTTATGCTGAGTAGTATTATAATTTTCAGCTAATAAGGAATTGTTGTTTTTTGTATTCTCAAAGGTTTTCATGGCCGGGATCAGATGGTTGTTGTGGGTTTTTTAGGCTTTTTGACCGTGTTCTGAAGGTTGTGCTTCCTGACGTTTCGCCAGGAACAGAGGATGGACAGAGTTCCTACTCCAGTCCTCTGAAGATGCCGGCCACAGAGACTGGTGAAACATCAAGAAGAACAACCTTCAGAACACGGCCAAAGAGCCCTAAAAACCCGCAACAACCAATTGTTGTTTGTTTGTGCTTACTCACAATATTACCATATTTGTTATGCTCTTGCAATTTACAATAAAATGATAAATACAGTAATAAATATAGAAATGCATTTATTTCTATATTTCTAAATTTCTATATTTTACAGAAATATAAAAATGCTCTTCTTGGGTGAGAACACGGCCAAAGAGCCCTAAAAACCCGCAACAACCAATTGTTGTTTGTTTGTGCTTACTCACAATATTACCATATTTGTTATGCTCTTGCAATTTACAATAAAATGATAAATACAGTAATAAATATAGAAATGCATTTATTTCTATATTTCTAAATTTCTATATTTTACAGAAATATAAAAATGCTCTTCTTGGGTGAAAGTCGTTGTAGCGAGCACGCTGAAGCCTCTACCAACTCAGGCCTCCAGGAGGGCTCACTCTTCTTCTTCAGTTGCTGTCACCAATGTTATCCAGTATTTAAAAAGACAATGTTGTTTCAAAACAAAAACTTGTTTATTGGTTTAACAAAATAAAGTAAGTAAATCACAATATGTTAATCAAGGTCTCTCACTCACTGACACACACAGACTCTTCCCTCACTGACTGTTTGGCTCACAGGCCCATAGACACACTCATCACTCACTCTCACAAAATCTCTCTCTAATCTCCTTTCTCCCTCATCATACACCCCTTTATATATTCCAGCTCCTCCCCCTTCTGCACCACCTTCCGTCCCCTCATTGGCTGATGTTCCACTGCCCAGCTGTGACGGACAGGTGAGGGCAGGGCTGAATGCTACAGTTGTGTTTTGATATTGGTCTCTGTCATACAAGTTAGTTGTTTGACAGAGTAGTTAATAAGATATTGAAGGTTGAGGACTACAGCTATAGATAATTCAGAATAATCACTACTATTTAAATATACCAGTAAATACATTTTCCTAAAATGGAGAAGACTGGGCCCCATTGGTCAGTGTGCAAACTCAGTCTACTGTCCAGCTTTGAGGTGTTGGTGGACACCTGATATCATTACCTTAGAACTCCAGAGATGGAAGTATCCCTATTGATAATCAGGTCCAGCCCTTGTGAAGGAGGCACAGTGAGGAATTAGATTCCCAATCTCTGGTTCCACAGCCAGATACCTAATCCATATGTGGAACACTTCAGTACAAGCAAACTATTGTTAATAAGCCAAGGTACCATCAGTCTTGCTCCATGCATCTCCACTTGGTTGACAGGAAGACGTATATTTTGCTCAACACAGGAAAACATTAGCATAAATGTAATTCTAATTTTCTTTTTTGGGAATACATGAGAGTAAGGCGTTTGCAAGTTTCTATAGTCTTCAGGTGTCAGTGATGAAGGGAGATGGTAGCAGGACAGTAAATGATGCAGGGAAAGTTGCTTGAAAGCAGGCCTAAGAAAGATTATTTCAGGTACTCCTAAATAATAAAAAGGTAAACAACCGTTCCCACTTCATAAATAATATAATATATAACTAAAATAGTACTATTATATTGAAATAAGGCATTATGAAGAAAAGCAGTTGTCAAAACTATGATGAGTTGCAGTCTAAAAAATAACATTTCCTTCTCTGTAGAAAATAACTGATTGTGTTTGCCTGAGGCTAATTTTCAAAGACAGCAATTACAGTGGTTCTTCCATTAGCCATTAATGCACATTAATGCTATTCCCATTTCTCATTGATATGAGCCCATTTGAATGGAAACCCTAAAGTTTAGGGCCTAAACCATGTTTGCCACCTCTATAACTCCTACCTGCCTAACAAAAGGGCACAAATGAGGAAGCAACATCACAGAGACTTGATTGATATACAGTAGTATCCTTGATTTGCATAGAACAGGACATATCCGTATTTTGTAACTTCCTGTGTGTTGCACCAATTTATCTTGCAATGTACAGCCACACATTAATTAAGAAAAATATATAGTTGATTTTAAAGGTACAGTAACTATATTCTAGGACAATTGTGGTTATCTCCAGTAGACTATGCAAAGGCCGGTCAGGTGTTTCAACCATATATAAACCATATTAAATTCATGTGTGATGAGTATGAAATAAATTCTGTTTATGCCTATTAGTCTCACTAAGCCATTCATGCCCCAACTGTGACCTTTGCAGAGGAGCCTAGACTTGTAAAACCATCTTCATGTACATCCTTATTACATGAAATGTGGCATGGAAAAACACACGGTGCCCTAATATTTACATACATGTCTGTGTTCAAAGAAAAATAAAATGCAGATTTCTACCTAATTCAACACAAGTTTCATGAGAACAGGGATACATAGAACTGCAGCCCTAACTCCCAAAGATCTAGATGGTGAAAGGCCTAGATGTACAAACTGATGATTTAACAATTCACAAAGCATTTAAGATCTCCACAAAAACCAAGCAAGAAACAAAATAAATGCAGTTAAGTAGTAGCAAACAGTTCTAAGAACCAATAGTACATTTAGGAATCGGTTCTATAGAATAGGTGTGAACCTGCTGGATCCCACCTCTGCCTAGATGGTGAAAGGCCTAGATGTACAAACTGATGATTTAACAATTCACAAAGCATTTAAATCTCCACAAAAACCAAGCAAGGAACAAAAGAAATGCAGTTAATTAGTATGAGGGGTTCTATAGAATAGGTGTGAACCTGCTGGATCCCACCTCTGCCTAGATGGTGAAAGGCCTAGATGTACAAACTGATGATTTAACAATTCACAAAGCATTTAAATCTCCACAAAAACCAAGCAAGGAACAAAAGAAATGCAGTTAATTAGTATGAGGAAGTGACAGAAATATGAGGTCTGAGCCTGGTGTAAAAGCAGGGCCAACCTAAGGCATTTGGCTTGAAGAGCGGGATGAGCGCCGCCCCCTAGAGTCAGACACGACTGGAAAAAAAATTGTCAAGGGGAACCTTTACCTTTACCTAAGTAGTATGGGCAAGTGACAGAAATATGAGGTCTGAGCCTGGTGTAAAAGCAGGGCCAACGCTACCTAAGGCATTGTACAGTGGCTATTTCAGGTGCCAGGCTCTGGAGCGAAGCACTAATGTGTTGAAGGATACAGCACTGTGTATTGTGTCTGTCCTCAATATAATTAGTATGAGGAAGTGACAGAAATATGAGGTCTGAGCCTGGTGTAAAAGCAGGGCCAACGCTACCTAAGGCATAGTACAGTGGCTAGTTCAGGTGCCAGGCTCTGGAGCGAAGCACCAATGTGTTGAAGGATACCGCACTGTGTATTGTGTCTGTCCTCAATGCCCTAAACTGGTCAACTGCCAGCACATGCCATGGATGACACTGTCCCATCACCAGTGTTGAAGAAAACACAACTAGCACTCCAGCTGGCTTTTCTATATGCACCAAGGAAAGATCCCACATTCCCTGTTGCCCGAAGGAGCAAATTGTCTTGGACTGATTCTGGATTTCGAGAGTCACTGAAATGTTTAACA